TGTAGTTACTATCTTTAATAATAACAAAAGAAAAGTCTCCGCTTACAGATATTATTTAATTTACAACCATTCATTTAGTGACCATTTAAAGTTATAATGGCACTGAAAAAAGAGATGTATGGTCATTTATCACACATAACTTTTGCAATATCACCATGGTCATGTGATCAAAATTCAGGCCCTTGGCAACTGGCTCCTATTTATGGTGGTTGCATTTATTATATTTGCAGTATCCCAGGATCATATGATCACCTTTCGAGAGCTTCTGACAAACAAAGTTAATGGGGCAGCCAGTTCAATTTACAACTATGTTTCTAACTTAAGTGCAGTGACTCACTTAACTGTGACAAGAAAATGGGGCAAAACTCACTCAAAACTCACATAACAGTTGTTTAGAAACAATTGTCTCATCTAGCTACAAAAATATTGGGCTCAGTTGTGATCATAACTCAGGACTACATGTCTGTAGGGATTCTCAATCATCCAGACATTTCGCTTCTCATCCAAGAAGCTTCTTCAAAACTGAAAGCTCTGGATGAAAAGCAAAACATCTTCAAAGAAAAACCAAAAAAAAGTCCAGTTGCCTCTTGCAAAAGCACCTTTGGGACAAGTCAGGACTACCGTACTTGACCTTAACCTCCTGGTGATTTCATAGGATTTCATTCAAAGAGTTTTCTTGACAACAATATAGAAGTTCACATTGCTTTCTTTAGGATATAATGTTTTACTTCTTAGTGTACTATAAAGCCCTTGGTTTTTCTGGTTATCTCTTTCTCAAAAAAGAATCTTAATCTTAATTTTTCATTGTAGGTAAGGATTATTACTGAGACTCTGCATTAGGGTCGTCACCCCCCCCCCCCCCCCGAGACAAAATAGGTTCACTAAATCTAACATAGTCTAAAGCAAGGGTGTCAAACTCAGGGGGTACTTAAGATTTGGCCCACGGGGCTGGCCTAGAAATAGAAGAAAGACCTTCCTACGGTGCTTCTGCTAGCAAAAACAGGGCATGGGGGATGCATGTGCTCCCCCCTATGCCTCATTTTCGGCCTCAACAGCCTCCTACAGCACTCTGCCAGCCAAAATGAAGTGAGAGGGCCCCATTTTGGCTGGCAGAGAGCTGCAGGAAGCCATCCAGGTCAAAAACGGGGCACAGCGGGGGTGCACACAGCCCCTCACACCCTGTTTTGGTCAGCAGGGTGCTGCAGGAGGTCACCCAGGAGCTATCCCATCTGTCGTCCATCTCTTCTTCCCTCCTACTCCAGCCAGCCAGCAAAAGACCACTACAATGCTGATCTGGCCCTCGAAGAAATCCAGTTTGACATCCCTCGTCTGGAGGTTCTATAGAGCTTCCAAAAATGACTCAATCATTTACAGATGGATTCCTACAATATCCAATTATTGGGAGTCTTAGAACATGTAAAATCATTTTAGGATTGGATTGAAATAAGTTTTAGCCCAGGCACAATTGAACGTTCTTTTGTTTATAGGAATAATTTAGCAAGTGGTAGGAGAGTTTGCAACTATAATATCCAATTCACAAAAGTGCACAGCATATTGGGCATATGGGATATTAAGAGAATACAGGTGTAGTGAGGAAAATTTCCCAGACAAAGTGCCAATCAAGAATGCTCAACAGACGCTTTTCTACTACAGCAGTTTTCTTCTTAAGAAAAAAAATAATAAGTTGCCATCAGCTACAGATTTTTCTTTTGCCGTGAACATAGCAAGAAACCTCTTTACATTTTCACTTTGAGATTAAACAAGGAAACTTGACGGCAGATTTTTTCACAGGGCACAAAGGACAAATTGAAGAGATTAAAATAAAATTTTAGTACACAAAAAATAGAGAACTCAGCTATAGGCACTTAGCTAAAATATAACATAACACAATTATTGAAAAACATACATTACTGTGGAGAAACTACTCTTATGGTCCTTTCTTTTACTGGGAATTGTTAAAAATTTCTCAACCTGATCCCTTTTCTTATTCCTTATCGTCCACCAACTCCCGGGGCACAACTGCATTTTTTCCCTACTAATAGCTCATAAAGGACCCTGTGATTCTTCATAGTAAAGAATTTAACTCTTTTAGGTGCTGTGTCATAGTATAGCAGTGGTAGGTTCCGAATCCCGTTACAACTGGTACAGTGCAACGGGGCCAGGTGCCCACCATTTGCACGCACACAGTGTGCGCATGCGTACCCACCACCCGCAAGGCTCCATCTGCTTGGTGGAGCATTGCGCAGGCGCCGTACGCTCCATGCGCATGGGCAAATGCCCCAATTGGCTGAAATAGCTGTAAGGAGAGTGGGTGGGCGGATGGGCCCTTTGGAGTACCGTACCAGAATGGTACCTGGTGCTCCCAGCAGGAACCGGTACGCCTGTATGCCTCGATACGGTTGTATCCCACCACTATATTACAGGCTTACCAAGAAGATATGGAGGTATTAAAGCTTTTCGTCTGTGGACTAAAAATATCCCCCAAAAGAACAAAAGCATGTATTATAAAAGAAATGATATGGGTAGATGGAGAATAAGAGAGAAAAATAAAGATTCTGAATTTTTTTAAAAAAAAAAATGCTTTCCTCTATCACTTCAGCAACCCAATCTACTCAGCTGTCAGTGTAAATAAGATACATATTGCTACATAAGATATTGAACCACAATCTACTTAGGGGTATTTGTGCATGTATGAATTCACTCTCTTTCATTATTTTTAGATGCAGTGTCAGCATGTGTATAAAAATTTCATTAATTAACCAATTAACTTGCAGTCTTTGTTTTACCTAGGTTCCTATAACTGTACTTTGAAATTGAAATGATATTACATTGCTAAAGAAAAATACTTTTACAGACAAAAATAGGTCAAGGAAGAAATTGCAGAGGGACTAAACAAAAATGGAAAAATGTCTTTGATGTCTTTCATTTAAGAATAAAGGTATAAAGGAAAAAATGCTTCACGCTGTTCTCTTTAGTTACCAATATCATTGTTTATCTGGAGATATTGAATCCAGAAAAATTATGATCGGCGGGTGGAAATAATGCCACCCACTGGATAGCCGTATTTCTTGGAAATTTAAATGATGCTATTAAGTTAGTCCTATTACGTGTATCTGTTCAATGTTTCTAGCAAAAGGTGCAAGAAGGAATTCTGCAGTTAAATGATACAAACTTATTAGAATAGGAGAAATCCAGAATTACTGTGAACGCAATAACATTTTAAGGACCATATTTTTAGTACATATTTTTTAGTAAAGTAACCAAAGAAGAACTCATATATTCTTAATTCTGCAAGACTGCAGTATTCCTTTCAGTGTTCATAACTAACAAGCCATCCTGTTTGTGAATTATGTAGGAAATTACCACAGTACCTTTGGAGGGCACCAAGTGTGGATTTGACTTTTCTTGTAAAAGAAAGTCAATGCCATAGGTTTAATGGAATAGAGAGGGGAAACTTTTATACACAAATAGTTCTACATGTGAAAATCTACACTTGTACAAATGATGATGATGATGATGATGATGATGATGATGATGATGATGAAGAGGAGGAGGAGGAGGAGGAAGAAGAAGAAGAAGAAAGAAGAAGAAAGAAGAAGAAGAAGAAGAAGAAAGAAGAAGAAGAAGAAGAAGAAGAAGAAGAAGAAGAAGAAGAAGAAGAAGAAGAAGAAGAAGAAGTAGAAGAAGAAGAAGAAGAACAACAACAACAACAACAACAACAACAACAACATGGATTGCACCAGTGGGCTTAAACCAATTTTGTTGTATTTATTTTGTATCATGACAATAAAGGCTATACTATAATATAACCATGATCTAAAATTACAAAAGGCAAAATACAAAACATTCAGCTACATCAGACCTTATCCAAATTAATATAGATATTCACTATAATAAAAAAGGAATTTCTTTTTTAAAAGATTCAATAATGTGATCATCAGATAGTCAATTCTGATGATAGATATATAGATAGATAGATAGATAGATAGATAGATAGATAGATAGATAGATAGATAGATAGATAAATAGATAGATGATAGATATGACAGTAATTGATCAGAGTTTTT